TTTTTTGGGACAGAGAGAGACAGAGCATGAACGGGGGAGGGGCAGAGAGAGAGGGAGACACAGAATCGGAAACAGGCTCCAGGCTCTGAGCCATCAGCCCAGAGCCTGACGCGGGGCTCGAACTCACGGACCGCGAGATTGTGACCTGGCTGAAGTCGGACGCTTAACCGACTGCGCCACCCAGGCGCCCCATGTTTTATGTATTTTAAAGATACGTGTAAATAACATGTCAGACTGTTACGTGTCATTCAACAGAGTTCTGGTACTTGGAGATACAGTTCATTCATTTTGACAGCTCTGTGTATGTTGAACATAAGAGTATTTTACATTTTATTCATTCCTTTCTTAGTGGACATTTAAGTTGTTTCCACTTTGCTATTGTTGACAGGGCTGTGGTTCTCGTTTTTTACTTGTCTTCTCGAGCATGTGTGGAGAGATTTTAAAGAAATCAGAATATATTCTTCAAGTAGAATTTTTTTGTGTGTAGGGTGGGTGAATCGTTACCAGACAGTGTTAACTGACTTTCCTGATTGATGTTCTGATCGTTGTAGCTCTCATCCTGTATGCCCTCAATAACACTTGGTACACTGTCAGATGAGCTGTCTCCTGCTTTTGCCTTTCTCTGATTTCTGGTGAGGTTGAGCATTGTTTCGCATATTTATCAGCCATTTGGGCTTTCTTTTTGCAAATAATTGTTCTCTGAAGGTAATTGCACTCTTAAGACCTAGCATAAGGTGAAGAATAGATGAGTATGAGCTCAAACCTGTAAAAAGCATAACCTCTGCTTCTGAGTTGAGAGTTTGATTTCAAGTAAGGTAGAACTGGAAGTCATGAGACATTCACATAGTTTTTTAAGTGGAAAACACATTGGAAAGTCAGAGACTTTAGGTAATTTATCTACCATGCAGATTATGCCCCTCATTTGGTACCTTTATTCCCCAGCTGGGTGTGAGATTGTCTGTTGTAGGCAACTTGTTTTGAGGAGCAACAAATTGAATTGGATTTCTTTTGAAAATTTTTTGAAATTTTGAAATAATTTCAGACTTAAATGTCAAAAGAATGCAAAAAATTTCTGTGCCTTCATTAGATTCCCCATATATTAACATTTCATCTCGTTTTCTTTATTTAGTCTCTCTTTATATACATATTATCTTTTTAGAACCATTTGAAAGTAAGTTGCTGACATAATGCCCTTTTTCCCCCTCAGTACTTTAGTATGTATTTCCTAAAAACAGTTTTGTCTTTCATAATCACATACAGCAATCAAACTCTGGAAATCAACTCTGAGTTCTCCCTCTAGAGCACTAATCGGGAGTAGAAGGTGTTGGTCGATTCAGCATGATTCCTTTCTGGCTGATGGTGGTGGGCACTGCTGGGAGCCTGTGGCTGATGG